GCGCCGCCCCGCGCTGCCCCACTTTCCCCGCCTCCCCCCACGCCGAGAAGAACGCGACCGCAGCCCGGCAGGTGCGGGGCCCGGGCGGGGTGCGCCGCGAGCGTCTCCTCCCAGCGCGGTTCCGGGCGGCGGCCGAGGGAGGAGGGCGGAGAAAGAGGAAGCAGGGGGAGGCCGGAGGGGCCGAGGAGGTTGGCGGTGGGAGGGCGCAGGCGGCGCGGGCCGCGGGGGACCCGCCCTGCTATTTCTGGGCCGGCCCGGCGGCGGAGGAAATGTCGAAATGGACGAAGGGAGCACGTGCACCGGCTCCCCCTGCCCAGGCCCTGGAGGTCCGGGGCCCGCGCCGCACCAGCCCACCCTCCCCGGCCCTCTGCGCGGGACCGCTGCGGCCGGGTCGCGGTGGGCCCTCGCCTGAGCTGGTGGAGCTGGGCCTTCCCGGCGTGGGCGACCTGAGATGAGTCCACGTGTGACCAGGTGCCCGCGTCTGCACCAGGGCGCGGGCCTCAGAGCTTTGTGGAGCAGTGTGGAGAGAAGGCGGCTGAGGTTGGATGGCATGGCCTGGCCCCGGGAAGCCTGGGCCTCTCTCGCTGTCCCCCGAGAAGTCCTCACTGACCGGCATCAGAGCTGGGAAAGTCCGCTGCCTGCTGCGTCCTCGCCACCCGTGCATATCCTTCCCACCGACGTGTGTTAATGCTCGTAAAGGAAGCTAATCCCTAAGTAGATCCAGCGCAAAGGGACATCTGTGTTGACCCTGTCCCTCCTTAGCAGCACCTAACAGCTCTATGTGTCAGTTTGGGGCACACAGTGACACACACTCGTGCGTGTTAACACGCTCTATACAGAAATGGGTCAAGATACCGAAAAAGCTAACGGGCAGTTAGTGGTCACCAAACACCAAAGCCTTGGTCAGAGCGCTTGCCGTGTAATAACTCATCTACTCCTCACCAGCCCCTTCGGTTTTCACTGGAGCTGAGATGTGGGAAGGTTACATTGCCTGTCCAGAATCACAGAGCTAATAAGCAGTGGTCAAGATTTGAGCCTGGCTCCAGAGCCAAAGTTTAACAAGATTTCTTACTTTTCTACGCATATAGCTCCATAAATTGTGTTATTTTCCGCGGCCAATGGAGATTCCGAAAGCAGCGCGTAGCTATGTGTTCTTGAGGTTTTTTATAGGTGTTCACAGAGCAGTGGGACCTTGCACTCAGTCAGAGTGCATACCAGAGTGCCATACCTGACCCACCCCACCCCACCTCCGTCAGTAGATACCTCCATCTCTCCGAGGTCAGGGACCGGGAGAAAGGGAAGTCCCTAGACCCGGGGCGGAAGCACACACGGGCTGTAGACATGACACCATGATGTTTGGGAAGACATCCCCAGGAGCCTGGAATTAGAAGAAGGTACCCGGACTGGTACGCGTAGCGTTGCCTACCTGTGGCTTTGTCCAGCTGTGGCTGCGTGTCCCATGGTGGCCAAAGTGTCCAAGTAAACCTGCTTCTGCCTTGACCTGTGAAGGCCTCTTGACCTCTGCTCAGTTTTAGGGCACTGTGCCTTTAGAACCCTCAGAATTCTCTGAGCGCCTGCCGATAAAGTCCTCTATGTTACAGCCGTTGCTGTAGGTTATAAACCTCCTATCTGGTACATAAAGTTGATTAGTCTCAAATCTTTTAATTTTTGCCAATCTGATAGGCCGAGGAGGGGAGAAGAAAGGAAAAGTACTTCATGGGCTTAATTTACATGTATTTGCTTTTCCCTAGGGAGGTAGGGGTGGAGCTCACTTACTTCAGATAAAATCCATTTTGCCCTTGTAGGACAACAGATCTGGCGCTAGGCAAAGCCGCTGAGGTGGACTGCATTTTCAAGCCTGTCTTTCGGTTAGGCTTGTCCTCACAGCCAGGACCTCATCAATAGTGTAAGGAGTCCTGCGGGAGGAGCTACTTCCGCGTGGGGCCGTGCAGGTGGGTGTGTCTGCTTCCAGATGCCTAGGATCGGGTTGTGGCAGCAGCCCAGCTGTGCAGGATCAGGGCCCTAGGGGAAAGCTTAACACTCAAGACTTTAAAAAGTATTGTCACCATCCTCAAAGATCCTACATCACTTTGTGGTTTTAATTAGCCAAACATCTTGTACAATATTGCCAAGAAGGAAGTGAGCTCTTTATGATCTGAAGACAGATGCTCCTTGATTTGCAGTAGGGTTATAAATCAATAGACCCATCACCACTTGGAACCGTCCTAAGTTAGAAATGTACGCGTTTCGCATGGCTTCGTGAGCAAGCCCACAGCACAGCACACTGTGGAGTTGATTGTTGCCCCTCATGATGGTGTGGCCGATCGACAACCGTGCCTTGCCCCTGCCACCTAGCACCACTCAGGGTCATACTGAAGATCGCCAGCCCTGGAGAGATCAAGTTTCAGAATTTGGTTTCTAATGACTGTAGAAATTCAGGCACCATCATAAAGTTGGAAAATTGTAAGTACCAGCACCATGAAGTTGGGACCATCTATATCTCTGTGTCTGTCTTCTGCTTGGTTCTGTTTCTCTAGGGAACCTAAGACAGAAAAGAACCTCCAGCGTCTGTATTACTGGATTTCTTTGTTACTGAAGTGGGGACTTACCCTAACTCACTTGGAGGTTGATTGGTTTCCATGAGCGTGTGCACTGCCTCTGTTGTCTTCGTGTCATTCTCCAGGAACTGTATGTATTGAATGCACTAACCTTTTGATTGTAATATTTATTGCAAATTCATTGTGATGTGTCACTTGTCTCTTCACTTCATGTTGAGTGGCTTCTCTCCTGGAGAATGTACTGCAGCTCTCCACACTTATGACAAAAATCCAGCTCACTCCAGTGTGCTGCGGGGGGCTGCTTACTGAGTCACTCACCCACCTGCTTTCTTCACAGCCCTGGAGGTTCCTGCAGAAAACAAACATCTGTCCATTTGTGTCCTTTCATGCAATTTTAACATATTCTTCATGTAAGTCCTCCCAGGTTTTGGTTAGGTCTCTGCCTAGATTGTATTTTTTGTTTCCATTGCAAATGCCATCTTTTACTTGGTATAAGGAAAAGGTATTGATTTTTATGTTTGGTCTGTGTCCTGCCATCTGACTGGTTCCTATATCCTGTCAAACCTGTCCCAGGATGGTATTCTACTAATTTTGATGTCTCTTCTAACTCCTGCATCATGCTATTTTACATAGAGGTCTCTCTGATTCTTCTTCACACTCTTGGTTTCCTTTAGATGTGTGGGGATTCTTGGTCATCTGATCCCATTTGTCAGTGAGAGCCAGGACCGTGGCTCTCAAACAATGAACCGTAGGTTCCTGGGGGAGAGGAGGCAGGTCCTGAGGCTTTATCAAGACTGTCTGCAAGGTCAAAGGAATAATAGGAATACAGCGACATTTCTCTTCCTTTATGGATGTTCAGTGAGTTTTCCAGAGTCCACAACATGTGTGATATCACAACAGCTTGAAAGCAGAGCAGATATGAAAATCCAACTGGTGATAAGCCAGATTTTGGAAAGATTTTTTTTAAAGTATAAAATAATGTTACTCTTCTTATTAAATAGTTTTTACAAAAGTATAGTTATTTTCATAAATATTATTTGAAGTAGCATGCCATTGTTATTATTAAATGAATAAATAAACATTTTCTCCAGTCAAACTTGTACTACATTAAGTATGAAAGGGTTTAACCCGTAGCAAGGCAAGTGCTCTTCACCAGAGCCAGCTTTCTCAATTTGCTGTTTGTCAGCTTTCTGCCACTGTAATAAATACCTGAGACAACAGAAGAAAAGGTCTGTTTTGCCTCACAGTGCTGGAGGGTTCAGTCTATGGTTGGCTGGTCTCATTTGGGTTGGGATAATTCCACACATCTTGGAAGGAGCACATGGCAGGACACAATCGCTCCCTCTATGGCCAGGATACAAAGAAGAAGAGGAAGGGGCAACGGTCTCACCATTTTCTGCCAGGCCACATACCAAATGACCTGAAGATAGCTCCCTCTAGACCCCACCTGCTAAAGGTCCTGTCACCTCCCAACAGCGCAATAGTGTGACCCTGAGGACCAAACTTTTTTTTTTTTTTTTTTCAATTCTGGAGTTAGAACTCAGGGTTTTTGGACTGAGCTGCATCCCTAGTCCTTTTTACACTTTGAGACAGGGTCTCCCTAAATTGCTAAATTGTTCAGGCTGAGTTTAAACTTGTGATCCTCCTGCCTCAGCCTCCTAGCATGCTGGGATTGTAAACATGCATCATCCCACCCAGCTGGGAACAAGCCTTGACCTTTGAAAGACATTTTAAAATCCAAATTGTGGTGGAGAGTAGGAGTTTCTGAGCCAGAATATCTGGGAATATTGGTCTTGCCTACTCACTCTTGCTGTGTGGGGCAGTTCTTGAACAAACTAGATCTCCCTTCTGGCAGGGACTGTGCAGCAACCCTGGCACCACTGAGTGCTTAGGGCCAGGGAGATGGGGAAGGCTGTGGGAGCCTTTGTGGGGCTTCTGGTCTGGGACACTCCGTCTCTCCTATGGCCGGCATTACCTGACAGTTACTTGGGCAGGGACTGTTCACTCTGCATGCTTCTGGTAGCTCTGTTCTCAGTGTTCACACTGCAGTGTGACTTCATCCAGAGCCCGTCTCAGCCCCTGGAGGAGCCCTTTAAGTAATCACCCCTGTTCATGTCCCATGACCCATTTCTTCTCCACTGCCTGCCCTCAGACTTAGAGTTTGAAGATGGTCTCCCACCTGTACCATATTGAGGTTTCCTTGGCTATGT